GAGGATTGAGGTGGGAGAGGGAGGAGAATGAGAATGCAAATTAGAGCCCTATGCTTCAAGTTTGCTGTGTGATGAACAAATAGGGTCGACATTAGGAATAACTCCTTTCTCTGACAAGTAACTGTGACAGGAGAGAAGAAAGCTGTTGTTTCTGACTTTAGTTGTAGTTCTTTGGACCATCCTAGCCTTAGCTCCCATATAGTGCTCCAATACAGTCTACTTCCCGGCTTTTTGGAAAGTATTCATTAACCTTAAAACTTTTTTCCTCTGTCTTAATTTGAGAATCAGAAATTTTACTTGTATTTCAAAGCCTAGCTGAAATGTCAGCTGCAGATGGCCTTCCAGATGGCTTGAAAACGGGTCAGAGGCGTGCTTAGGGCAGCAGTAGTGTAGTCCCTTATGGATACTAGTAAGAGAGATGAGAAAAAACATGTGGAGTGTCATCCTTTAGAAAACATTACAAATTAAAGTCTAAGTCACTTTGTTGATAAATCTAGGTGGAAGTTTGGAAAAAATCTCTTTCTATTCAAGATAAACTCGAATGTTGAGGTTTGAGGAGAAATTGCTTTCTTAGATGTTGCTGTGTTTTATCCTAAGCCTGTCAGTGCTGCTATGTACACAAGTGTGATGAGGGGGCAGGAAAGAACTTGTTATCCTCTTTTGCTTAGTTGTAGCCAAACTGACAATTATTTTCCTTTCTGGCCACATCTTTGCAACAGGTCCTAGGCTGTTAGGCCCAACAGAATTTCCTTTCTCTCTAGCCCAGGGTTACTTCATCACCATTATTTTTAAGGTATGATTACATTCTTCCACTGGGTAATAACCCTTTGAATGGAAACCACATCTCTCAGAATTACTGAACAGTGATTAGGCAAACAGATATGTTCCAGAGGTTCATCTTGAGGCTGTGTATTTCAAGCTTTAGAACTCAGGCAAAATGTGCTTTTTAATACAGTTTTTTAAAATACTAATACAATCAACCAAATTACAGCTAGGTGATTATCTACTAAAGTTTCCCTGTTGTAAGCATACTGAAAGTGCACTTTAGTTAAGAAGTGGCATTTTGGTGCCACCTTATGGTCATGAAGGAAATACTGTGCCTTGACTAGTTCCTCTTGTCAGATCTGCATCTTATAGCCATAATGCGAAAGAGGTTGGTGTGCAAAGCTTTCAAAACATTACCCACGAAATATATAGTAAGACTCCAATCGAGTAGCTGATTGTGTAGAAAACAGAAAGCGTATGCCTGGTCGAAAAGACGTGACAAACTATATCCCTCCACTGTTAGAGAACCTTTGGGAAGTTAGTGTGCTTTCCTTCATGATCTTCCCTCTTTTCATATGTATGGCTGTGTAATAGGACTGCGCTAAATGTTGTAAGTATCTGTCCGTTGGTCTGGATAGCCCACTGATTAATCTAGGGGTGTAAAAGTTAGGCAGTTTCTTTTCATCCTCCTTTGAGGTATCCACCCATGTGGAGCTGCTATTTCAAAGTTGACAAGTGATGCCACCCAGACCAAATCTGCATGCTGCATTTCGAAAATAGTTTTATTGGAACACAGCCAAATACATTTATTTACATATTGGTTCTTGCCACTTTCCTGCCCCAACAATTAGAGAAGTTGAAATGGTGACCATGTGGCCCACAGCACCTAAAATATTTATCATCTGATCCTTTGTAGAAAATGTTTGCCCATCAATTTAAATATCAAAAAGGAAATGAATATGGGAGTGGCATTTGTTTTCTCTACCCTACAACCTCCTCTTTCTAGGATGGGTATACTATAGCGGATCTGATGTCAGTTTGAATCTTTGTCAGGCTTCTATGTGGAGAAAGTGTGTCTCGGCCTGTTTTAGCAGCAGCAGCCCATGCCACCTGTTCCTGTTCCTTGTTCTTATAGTGGGTAGCGTGTTTGGATATGCTATGGCATTGCTGTGATATTCCTAATCTCCCTCCATCTACTTCTTCCTCCCCTCCTACTTTGCTTCACCCAAGCTTTTATCCATCTGAAGTAGTCTGCTTCTGTCTGGTCTGTCTGCTCTCTCCCACCTACTTCAGTACACCAGAGAAGTGGCAGCTTCCCAGTGAATCAGGCTGAATTCAAATAAGCTAAAATGTATCATCTTGCTTAGGGAAGATGAACTTTAGTTATAGTAGGGACCAAATATCCAGACCCCAGTCTTAGGGGACACAGAACATTCTACACCAAAATGTGTTTATACCTCATTTATCATTTCTAAGGTAAAATTGTTAAATACTTTCCATTGAATTATTTTTACTGTCTGTATGTGGCTCTGCAGCACTTATTGCTTTATGAACAACTTATATAGCAAGGTCAGTTTCATCAGTTTGCCTTGTGTGCGTATATGTTTGTCTCTGTGTATGCATGTGCATGCATACATCCAAGTTGAGGCCAGAGGTTAATCTCAGGTGTTCCTCTGCTGCCATCTGACAGGGTTCCTTATTGGCCTGGCGTTGGCCAAGTAGACTAGTGAGCCTA